GTGCGCGGCTAGGGGAGAAGCATCCCTGGGTAGATGGTTAGGGCAGTGTTTGGCTTCTCTTTCCTCCTCCTCCGGCCCCCAGCCAAGCGGGGGTCGGAGCCGCTCTCCTGACCGCTCTCCGTCCTTTGCAGGAGATCATGCGTGACTACATCCAGAAGCACCCCGAGCTGAACATCAGCGAGGAGGGCATCACCCGCTCCACCCTCACCAAGGCTGAGCGCCAGCTCAAGGACAAGTTCGACGGACGACCCACAAAGCCACCTCCGTGAGTCCCGTCCCTCCCCGTCCCCCTCTGAGCTGCCGCTTCGGGCTCTTGGCCAGCTCGGGCGGACGCTGGCGCTTGCTGAGGAGGAAACTGGGGCTTTGCCTGGCTCTGAAAGCCCCGATCATTTCTGAGACCAGGGGCGTGGGTGGTCGATGACCCCACTGAGCTGGTCCTTAAATGTGAATTAAATACACATTTGGAGAGGATCTGGGTGAGGTTCATGGTGCTGCTGCATGCTCCGGGTCGGGGGGTAATCCAACCCCTACCTTCCCTAAAATGCAGACACCTCTGGCACAGAATTTCACTGCCCGGTGCAAGCCAGAGGGCAGCTGGGGGGTCCTGGGGGGCTCTTAGCACCCAGCCAGCTCCGCGGAGGGGACATGAGCAGGGCAGGTTGTCCCTGACGCAGGGTCCCTCGGTGGGTTGCAGGAATAGCTACTCCCTGTACTGCGCAGAGCTGATGGCCAACATGAAAGACGTGCCCAGCACCGAGCGGATGGTGCTGTGCAGCCAGCAGTGGAAGCTGCTCTCCCAGAAGGAAAAAGACGCGTACCACAAAAAGTGTGACCAGGTGAGGGGCCGAGGATGGACAGACGGGTGGACAGGCGGATGGGCACCAGTGTGCTGTGGGGGGGAGGACTGGGATGGGAGAGCCTGGGCTGCAAATCCTGCTGGAAGTGAGCCCCTCGCCCTTCCTCAGTGCCTGTGCTTGTCATCTTGACCGGCAGTTCTCCCTGAGGTCCTCGGTCACCTCCCGTGGTCCTCTGTCTCCCCGCTCCACGCATGTGGGACCAGCAGATGGTCCGGGTGGAGGATGCGGTTGCCGGGGGGGGCTGAAGCCGGGTCGGGGTCTGCGCGAGGCAGGGATGGGGCAGGAGAGCTCTGTGTAACCGCACATCTCTGTCTAGAAAAAGAAAGACTACGAGATCGAGCTCCTCCGCTTCCTGGAGGTGAGCGGTGCGGGGGTGCCTCAGCCGTCGGGTGTTGGGGACCCCGAGCGTGGGAAGGGAGCCCTGGCCTCTTCCCTCCCCCCAAAAAGTGGCCATGGGTGCTGTGCTGAGGTGTTTGCGCGTAGTCTTGGCCCTTCCCAAGCTGCCCTAATGCCTGACCCGGTGTTTTCCAGCTGGGCACTGGGAGGTGGGGATGGGTTCCCCCATCCGGGAGGGGAAGCTGGGGCTGGGTGGAGGGGTTGCCGGCAGCGGCTGCGGCTGTGCGGGCGGCAGCGAGGGGACAGGGCTCGGGGAGAGGGACGTTGCCCGGTGAGGGAGGTGACCCAGGCATGGGGACCCCCAGGCTGCACACCTGGGCTTGCGGTGCCTGATGTTGGCCCTGGCTGGGGGGGCTTTAGGATCAGGACAGCCGAGTGCGTTAGTTCCCCCTCCCCAGTGTCCCTGTTCCCTGGTGGCATCAGTGGCACTTCAGCACATGGTCTAGTAGGCGTGGTGGTGTTGGGTTGACGGTTGAACCTGATGACCTTGGAGGTCTTTTTCAACCTTAATGATTCTGTGATTCTATGATAAGCCTCGTTAGCGCTGGGCCGTCTAACCATGCCTCTCCTCCTGTGCCACCCAGAGCCTGCCTGAGGAGGAGCAGCAGCGGGTGCTAGGCGAGGAGAAGATGCTGGGCAGCAATCGGAAAGGGGCGACGAGTCCTGCGTCCAAAAAGTCCTCACCAGAGACCGGCAAGGTGAGAGCGGCAACTGGAGACACGAGGCAGCACGCGCCGGGGACGTGGGATGGGGTTGCTGGCATCTGAGGGTGCTTTGAGGGCTTCATGCCTTGGGTCTTTCACCGTGGTTTTTCCTGGGGTTGGAGGATACCAGTGCCAGGCAGGTTGCTCTGTGGGCTGGCCCCCACCCACAGCCCCGTCTCCCTCCCGCAGGCCAGCTCAGAGAAGCCCAAACGGCCCATCTCCACCGGGGACGTGGGATGGGGTTGCTGGCATCTGAGGGTGCTTTGAGGGCTTCATGCCTTGGGTCTTTCACCGTGGTTTTTCCTGGGGTTGGAGGATACCAGTGCCAGGCAGGTTGCTCTGTGGGCTGGCCCCCACCCACAGCCCCGTCTCCCTCCCGCAGGCCAGCTCAGAGAAGCCCAAACGGCCCATCTC